GCCTTGCAAGAAGGAGAGACATGTTCAGTGAGTCCCCCCAAAAAGCGGCGTAATGAGGAGTTTTTAAAAGTATAAATAGTCACAGCAAAAGAGAAGGTGGCAAAGAGATTATTTTTTTTAATTAAAAAAGAGAAAACAAAAGCAATCAAGCATTATTTTTTTGAGTTTTCAAAAATAAAAGCCTTTAAGTTTCCTGTATCTCTAGTGCTTTTCGTTTCAAAGGATGAGAAGGCAGTCTGACAGTGGCAGATGAGCAGCCTGCAGGTGTGGCAGTGCTGGTTTTGCTGGTCACTGGGTGGCCACGGGCAAGTAGGACATTGCTTTGTTTCAGCACATCAGCTTCCATAATTGTTAGCTTTAAAAAGCAGATAATGGTTGTCTGTCCACAAGGCAGAACTGTTGTGAAACCTAACTTCTCAGCAGCTGCAGAGTACTTTCAACAGTCAGTTTTCAATCTCCAAGAATTTTAGTCTGTATTTATAGGAGTCAGTTCACTGGCAAAATATGGCCCTTAATTGGGTAACTCATGAACTGGTTCCCTTGATAATCAGTTTGGCAGTGAGGAGAAAACACTCAGATGGATCTTGACATTTTGTGGAGGTGGGGCAGAGGAGGGGGAGCCCCAGATTTTTGCTTGTGCAGAGCAGTCAGTACCTTGAAATGAAGTAATATCACTGTCTGCCAGGAGGTGTTTATTGCCTTTTAGGCTCTCGTCTGCCTGAGCACTGATCTCTGGCCTAATCCGCTAAACCTTAGAACCTGCTCCCTGGCATTTGCTTTCGTGTCAGCGGAGGGTGAAGCTTGTGCTGGTTGCTAGGAATTAAGCCTGGCTGCTCAGGAAGTGGGAGGGTATGTGTGTGTTTTCCTCAAGACTTGAGATTTCCACAGATGAGTGAGGAGAGGGGCACATGTGCAGACTTTTGCTCTTCTTTCATAAGAAACCAATTCTGAACTGAGCTGTTTAAATAAAAAGTTGTTTTAAGTCATTGTTTGCAAGCTTATGGTACTTTTTCTATTTTAGGATTTCATCTCCCACTTGGACCTTAGGCTTCAGAAATACTTGATGCAGTGGAAATGCTAGCATTTTTTTAAAATATTCACAGTGGCTGATATATTGAAAATACTTGGCAATGAGCTAGTGCCTTTACCTTCTGGAGACAAAAGGCCTCTCTATGGTCGAGGAGGAAAAAGTTGATGTTACAACATCAACCTGATATTAACTGGGAGATTTTTTCCCCTGCATCAAAGGGTTTGATTATCCCCTTTTCAACAAGTGTCATCATGGAAATGTGCATGCAATTGTGCTGGGTGGAGGTTTGCTTTTCATTCATGACTGCAGAAGGTGCTTTGGGTCTGTGAGTGAAGAGGAACAGGACTGAGAATCATGTGACTGGAAGAAATGCTTTACATCTGGATTTGAGACTGAGAGCTAAACATAGTTTCTCTTGTTCAAACTGCTGGCCAGGAGATTAATACACACTGACATTTTAAAATATCTTTCTTCTTGAACAGAGTATTGAATCTGTTTCTAGGACACATGATCTTTCTTACTTGCAGAGAGGGTTGTTCTGAGTAAGAGGTGAGAAATGTTGCTGTCTGCTGACTAAAAAAATATAGGAGATATTATATGTATACTCATATTGTCATCTCCTATAGGAGTAATTCTCTTCCTCCTTGTAAAGCTACAGCTGCTTCAAAATAGTGGGTTTTTTTTCTGAAATACATTTGAAGTACCCATGGAGAAGTCAGCTTCTCATAAACTCAATTTATGTTATCTGTATATTGATAAATCCAAGCCCTGTTAGAGCAATGCTTGTTTTACTCTTTGGTAGGACCCATAAAATCTTAGCTGGTTTGCTGCAGAGTTAAAGACTCTTCAGGTACATTTGAGGTTCACTTTATACTCACTAGATAAAAAAGAGGAGAAGCATCTTGCAGGAAAGTGCTTTCAGTCAAAGGATTGGAAAAACTTTAAGGCTTAGCCCAATTACACCATTAGTCTGTCATTAATATGACAAGGAGGTGGTTGGGAAGCTGCCAGCAGGCTCAGGCAGTCCTTCTGATGAGGGTTTCTATCAGCTAGCCTGCAGGTTGCCAATGAGGCCCACAGGCAGGCTCAGGAACCTGCAGTGTTCTTGGGGACTCTCACACCTTCCCAGCAAAGGTGGTGGTATCAGTGTCACTTCTTGGCATTATTTAAAGCCCAGTCAAGTAAATGGAAGGATCCATCTTTCTGGATCTTGGAGCTTCTTACTATCACTGGATGCCTGCTTGTACACCTGTGTCTGTGCTCTCAGCCACGTTGGACAAAGGCATGTTTTCAGGAATGATGCCAAATCAGGAACAGCAGATTTAAAAAAAAAAGAACAATAAAATGGAGCATTTCAATCTATGTCTTCAAGCACCTGAAGCTGGCCACCCTAGGGCATGCAGAAGAGTTCAAGGTGGTGGACTGTCAAGGCAAGACTTTTGCAGCTGTGCTGGCCTGTCTGCATCCATAGTCATTCTCAGTCTGTTGCAAAAGTTACATTTATTTTGGTAGTGCTGGGAGTGGTCTGAGTGGTTGAGTTTGGTTGCTGGCAGAGCTGTGATACTGGTAGCTGAAGGATATGGCCACAGGCTGTGCTGTCACGGCAAACTAGGTACAGACTGGAGTGTAGCAGTAGGTCCTCTCCTGGATGTGTTGGCTGACAATTTATAATTTTTCTTAACCAAATAGTCATAAGGCAGTCAAAGGAACTTTTACTTTCTTTTTTTTCCTTTCTAATATGTTGCTATCAGAGATGTATCCTGTGAGTCATCGCTGTGATGAGGATCTGAAAAGGGCAAATATATTCCTAGGATGCAGTGAATGAGATTTTGACTCAGCAGGAGATGTAAATAGTGTCCTAAAGCCCTGGTGAGCCCTCATCTGGGCCAGGGCTCTGGCCCACCACCCCCCAGGAATACTCACTCAGATAGGAGGAGAGCTTGCAGGGATGATCAGAGAACAGAGGAAATTAAAATATGTGTTGAGACCCACAAAGGTAGAGCCAAGAGGGAATATGGTGTCTGTCCATGCAGATCCCAGCCAGGGAAAAACTCACGTGGTGGGCAACTCCAGTGTTAAATTCCCTATTAATTAAACAGGCTGCAAGTGAAGAGGAGGAGCTGTTGAGGGACGGCGGAGCCAGGGAAGAAGCACCTGCAGGAAGTACCCGAGGGGGGTTCCTGCGGGTGGGCTGGGCTGGGCAGCCCCGCTCCTGGCGGGAGGGCTGGGCCTCAGCAGCTCTGGTGCCACAAACTGCTGGGCGAACCGGGCTGCGCTTCTCAGGGCAGGGGTGGGTAATCCCAGGAGGAGCAGGGCAGCTCGGCGGGACTGGGATGCGCGTTCCCTGCGCCGGGATAGCGTTCCCTGTGCCGGGATGCGCGTTCTCTGTGCTGGGTTGGCTACACGGTGTTTCCCGACCGCCGCCCTCCGGCCGCGCTCCCGCTTGGATAACGCGGGATAAAGGGACCGAGCACCCGGCGCGACCATAGAGCTGAGCTCCGCCACGGCACAGAGCGGCCGCTCCTCCTCT